GCATAACTTTCTTAAGACATGATTTTTAATAACATTGAAATAAAATAAAATTAAACACAATTTTTATGTGATTAACGTATAATATGTCTCACATTTCATTGTCACCTCAGTTTGCGATTTATAGTGTATTGTTAAGTTATGCATCATTTCACATCTAAAGTTAGCGTAGAGAAATTTCAAGGTGACGAGCACGCGAGTTTCATACCCGAGCACGCCCTTATCGATAAAACATCTATTTTCTCCGCGTTCGATATTTCAACGACTTGTCAATACTTCAAGGTTCTTCTCTTTATCGCCGACACTATCGACATGCGTAGTGAGAAAAGAAAGAGAGATATAAAGACAATAGTTTTATCTTATCCTTTCTTATATCTTGGATCAGAAAAAAACTATTTTCCTTATCCTCGAATATGTCGCGCGCTAGGATTATTATTTGCCAGAATTTAAAATGATGGCCTAAAAACTTTCACCTCCGGTAAAGAGCCAGAAGTTCTTATTGGCCAAGTTCGTCGATACGTTTGTCGCGAGCCGAGAAGTGCAATAGCATTTTTCGAGACTGAAAAACCGGAAAACGGAAAGCCGCCTGGACGGCAGTGATGACCCCATATACCTAATGGCGTTTGTGGTCGTTGACTCTTTAAAGGTGTCAAATACTAAACAGATGTCAACTAAATTCACTGCGGGAGGCGTCCGAATGCTTCTTGGCGCCACGATAAATTCGCAGACATCGCGAGGGCCATTAGGGATAGTTGAAACCGGACGAACTGTTAATGAGTGCCACGAATAAGTACGGGTATTATTAACTCCGAGTGTCGGAGATCGATCGACTGTATCGCGACTGACAGTTAGTGTTGAATTGGATGAATGATGTAATTTATAAAAAGAAATGCTTAAACTGTAGGATAACCTAATAAATAATTTTAGCATATAATTCAAGAATTAATAGCAATTGATAAATGGTAGTGGAATATTATTTGTCGTGGAATATATTAATCGAGATTAAATTTTTCGAAATTATTTTTGAAATTTAAAATATTTTAGTAATCCTAATAAATAATACGGATGACTATGAAGACGATGGGTTCGATAATGGATTGGATGAATGACGTGATTTAGTTAAAAAATATTTAAACCATGGAATCACCTAAAAAATTTCTAGCATATAACTCAAGAATTAACAGCAATTGATACATATTAGTTAGGTGAAATATTATTTAATATGTTAATCAAGATTTATCATTGTTAAATTTTTCAAAATTATTTTTGGAATTTAAAATATTTTAGTAATACTAATGAAATAGTATTGTTATAAAGAGATGATTTTTTTTTTTATGATGTAGCAAACATTCTGTTTATTACAAAGACTCATCAAATGTGCATATCATTAACTTTATTTATGATTTGTGGAAAAATCATTAACGCGAAATGTAAAATATAAATACATGCCTGTTATAAAATATATCATTAATGGATCATCTGCATTATCAAATGATGATCAAATTTATATTGCATATAATGCATAATTCAAAATAAGATTCGATTTGAAGTGATATAATGAAAAAATATAAAAAGATTTAAATTTTTTATTCTTTACCATATTAATATAATATTTTATAATATATAAATACAAAGAAATTTTTTATCAACGTATTTAGATAATATATTCCCACATAAATGCATAACATATTATTATATTTCTCTCATAATAAATATTAATATTCTCACCGTAATAACGTTTCTTTATCAAAATATTACATCCGAAATTCGCAACGTTCTTTTGAAAGCCTCTCAATAATTACGATGTTAATTAAGATAATAATATATAGGTAAGCTAATATTGTTATCGTCATCTAGATGACAGTTTTATTGGTCAATAAGTGATACCCGAGGACAACTGCTTCTTTTATTACATAAGAGATAAGTATTGCCTCTCCGAATTAATTTCGCGCACGTATATGTCCGAATGCTCCGAAATTCAACCCGTTGCATAACCAAGCCATGACGACGATTTTTCGAAGACAATTTATTTGATTCGAAAACAAGTATTACAACTTTCGACGTCACGAAACGAATGCAAAAATCGACCGCTGAGACTGAGATTTTCCAAGATTTTACGCTCGACCAGTATAATAATCGCGGTCTTGGGCCACGTGGTATAATTGGCAAATATCACCAGCCAAGTAACACAAAACATGTACACCGAGTGCCGTCGAATGTGTATTTGTGCGTGTTCAAACAACGTTGGTATGTAAGCTGGCAATGTCCTCGAAAACTGAAATAGTTATGACTTGACTTGAAAGGAAAAGAAAAACACTTGACAGATAAGCTTAAGTACGTAATTATATTAATTGTTCGTGATTGTCGCGGGCAATTACGACAATTAATATAAATCGTAACATATTCACGTAATGTATATGTTCATAAAATTATATCACAATAATATAATTCTATGAATATGTATCTATCGTTTTTATTCAAGGAATATTAAAATTTTAATCAATATTTAAAAATATGATCTGCACGTTGCAACGCTTCAACGATTTTTATGACGAAGAAGTGTTTTAATTTTTAAAATGACATTGACTTACGATTTATAAGATTGAAATATTCGCGAATATTTCAATTCAAAATAAAACCGACCTCGAATATATAATCATAAAATCAAATATAGGTATAATCATTAGAGTTTTCAATACTTATAAACTAGTACAATAAATATGAAACGTGAATATAATAATCTGTATACAATATAATTATCTTCATTACCCACCCGAATTACAGATCTTAACCATAAGTATAAAGCACTCCCACAAATTCACATAAACATTCTATATTTAACGAAAAATAATTTAAAAACAAATTTATTGAAATACTTTATTATAACAATTTTAATATTGTTATTTTCTCTTTAGCTTTCATTCCAAGAAAATATAATAAATTTAGAGTGTTTTATATTTATGGCCAAGGTATAGTATTAGGTGTTGGAATTAATTCGTAGCGTTTTACAAGTGATGGGAAGTACTTTCATTAATGTATTTTTTAATGCTCATGTGAAATAAATAACATTCTTTCATTAAAAACGCTACGAATTAATTCCAACACCTAATATAATAAAGTGTAATTACAATTCACGTTTGACGTACGTCAAAATAGATATATTTGTGATAATACGTAATTAAATAATAATATGCAATTCATGATAATATAAACTCTATTGATAATAAAAACATCGATAGAAAAAAATTAGAAACATGTCGAGTTTATCGTACTTGTTAAAATTCGAACGAATATTCGCGTGTGTAAAACATTCGCCATTCAAATATGCGACCTTCGACGAATGTCTTTCGAAAAGGCAAAGATCCGCGTAAAGGTCCGTTTCTGCATTAAAAAGATACATATGTAAATTTCTAACCTCCGACTGCTTTATTTAATTTGACTCGTATAAATCGTACCCATCTCGTGCTGAATGTAACACAAATTTTCAATATTCGCAAATATTTATAAAGCAGTTATAAATTTTTTCAGAAACGTATACGCGTACACGCTACGATCGATCGAAATTCCATTCCAATCTTTCCATAAAATTCGAAATCGCTTAACTAACATCGTTTCATATTTTACATACATTATGATTAATGATTCACATTTTGCGTATCGAATAATATTCACGACTACAAATCGCTGGTAACGATGATTTTATTCCAAATAATACAGTATGTTGTTGTAGCGTTTTCGAAAGAGCAACTACATAATCCGGCATTACAAAAACATTATAAAAACATTTTGCAATTTTAATTATTGTTCTGACCAAACAATGCAAATGAAATACAATCGTAAATATGGCAAGTAGTTCAATAGCCGTAAAATATTAATAAAAATGTAGCGTGACTTCGATGAAAGTCTACGTCTCGCGGAAATGATTTCTACACGCACCGCAACCGCGGTGTCTAATAATAAATTACAATTTCCCAATATTTATGGCTGTAATATCGAAGCCGGCGGAGAACGATGAGACGATTTTCATTCCTTGTGACATGTTGCCATTGAAAGTGACTTTACCGAAACGGGCGAGAATCCCGATTTTCAGCGGCTCGAAATGGAGTAACGATCATTGAAAATTAGAGAAATATAAGAAGCTCATTTTTGCGAAACGTATTATGGGCTTTCTACAAAATAAGCTATTCAATTTTAAGTCTTAAATCATAAGACATTAACCAATCACAGTTTTATGTGAGAAGAATAATCGATCATGATTGATCAATTTCTTATAGTTTAAGACTTAAAGCTTAGGTAATGACTTATTGTAGAAAGCCTATAATACATAATGGACTTTCTATAATAAGCTATTATAGATTAACAATAAGTTTCAAATCTGAAACCGTAAGAGACTGATCAATCCCAATCGAATGTGAGAAGAATAATTGACCATGATTGATCAATTTCTTATGACTTAAAACTTAGACTAAACTTAAAGCTTAGGTAATGGCTTATTGTAGAAAGCATAATGAGCTATCTATCAATAAGTTATTATCCAAGTTTTCAGTTTTAAGTCATAAGAAATTGACCAATCACAGTCGATTATTCTTCTCACATTCGACTGTGACTGATCAATTTCTTACGGCTCAAGATTTAAAACCTAAATAAATGGTTTATTGTAGGAAAATTGTATGTACAAAAATCAATCAGTCTTTTATTTCGAAAACTTTGATTAGTTCATTTTCTCACGCATGATGCTTTACGTTATACAAGACTCTCCAGCACATAGACTATTCACACCAAAGGGTCACACCACGCCGCGATGTAAACATAAACGGTACGGCGCGGCGCGACGCGAGGCGTCGCGCGCGCGACGCCAGGTCGCGGTGACCAACAATCGACCGGAGTACAAACTACGCGGTAACGACACACCTGAAACGAGAACGCGAGCTTGACGATCTCACGGGAACGCGTAAAAACGAAGCGAAGAAATAAAAACGCGAGCAAGTTTTCAGGACACTCACCTGAAGGTCATGACAGCCGTTATCCCTGTGACTGGCAGCACGTATCACCCCCGCACGCCAACCCCACTCACTAATTTTATTCACCTTCAGCTTGGTGAAACCACTCACCGAGAGAAACCTCTTTCCCACGATCTCCTCGCGAAACTTGTACGCCATATTACGTTCGGTAAACCACGGCGTGCCGAATCCGCGACTTCTCGCTCCTCTTCCGTCTTCTCGTTGCTCTCTTTCTCTCTCTTTCTCTCTCTCTCTTTCGCACGCTCACTTCACTCTCCCGGCCCCCTGACGCCGACCTGGTTTTTCCTTCTATCCTCCGAGGAGCGTGCCTCGCCCCCGAAAAGAAAAGAAAAACAACAACAGGCACACGCACCGCAAGAACACACTGTGGGGGGAGGGGACGCGACGATGGACCCTGTAACGAACGATCACTATTCCTCGACGGCACAAAGCACTACTCCGCGGCCGATTTTTTCCCGCCGAAGATCACGAAGAGCCATCGAACAACAGGACCATGAGGCATGAGACGACGGCCGGTCACTCGTGTTATCCTTCCCTCGCTGCCGTCTCTCTCTCTCTCTCTCCCCCTCTCTCTCTCTTTTTCTCTCCTTCCTCACCAACACAATCCGCAGCCACTCCTTGCTCCTGTTTGCACGTCTGGACGCGCGCGAGACACTTATTTACGTGAAAATGTAAATAGGAGACTTCTCTCGCGCAACTTGAAACAGTTATACCTTCTCCTTCTTTCTTTCTCTCTGTCCGCGTGATCACCGTTCGCGCCTAACTTGATGGTGTTTTCCCACTGCTCTTTCCCGGCGCGCGCGCGCGCGCGCGCGCGTCCCTATGGCAATAAAGGAATCCGCGCGTCTCTCCACCTGTGCGCTCTTATATTCGAATTAACGATGATATACGCGTCGTCGGTCGACGACGCGCGACGTCTGCCGCGAGGACTGCGAGGACTGCGAGAAGACGACGCGAGGGAGTGAAAGAAAGGGATTCTCTCGCGTCTTCTCTCCGTCTCCCACTGTTTTGACGTCCGCGCGCGCGAGACCAAGATCGACCGGGCACACTTTTCAACTTCCGGGAGCCGCGCACCGGGTGTGTAGAAGCACTTTTCGTCGCCGCGCGCTACGCGGCAGCGGACGATAACGGCAACGGTGGCAACACCACCAGCGCGGTAACCAAGTACTCCGAACGGTACCAGTGTGAACGTGAGAGTGACACACACATGACCGGTCAGTGATATCGCGTAGCGCGCACTGCGGGCGGACGGCAGGGAGGCACGGCTCCTTCCCGCGGCCCGTACACCCTCCCCCCCCACCGAACGCGCGCGCTCCCTCCCACCCGTCTGGTTAAACCTCCTCCCGCTGCCGCGCCGCGCCGCGCCGCACCGCGCCGTGCTATGCTACGATCCGCTCCCCCACCTAACCCCGTCAAGCCGTGAACCAAGAGAGTGCGCGTTCTCTCCCTCTCTCTTTTTCTCTCTCTCTCTCTCTCTCTCTCTCTCTCTCTCTCCTCCCTACTCTTCTCTCGTTTCTCTTCCCTCTTCGCCTCTACTCCTCAGAGTACCGCGTCGCGTCGCGTCGCGTCTCGCCTCACTTTCCTGCTATCCATCGCACGAGAGTGCCGTTGGGATGGCCAGAAGAGTTTGGCGGAGGGGGTGCTTAGGGCCGTAGTACCGACCGCGAGGCGTGTGGGGTCGCGCGCGCGGGTGGCGCAAGAGGGAAGATATGTTGCCGAGGATCGAAGAGAGAAGGGCGCCTGGAGAGAACTGCCGCCTTTGCCTCTACTCCTCTTCTCGTTCTCTTCTCTTCTCTTCTCTTCTGTTCTGTTCTGTTCTGTTGTGCGCGCAACACGCACACAGCGTATCGTGTCACGCATATCCACACGCGTTCCGCGCTATACACACGCATCCACGTAACATGCCACGTACAAGCCCCGGTTTTCTCTGGCGGATTAAAGAAATAAGTGTTTTCTGTAAAAACACGTGTTTTTGTTTTCCTCGGCAGGAACGATGATAAATTTCGATATTACTTGCTTATGTTTTTGAGATAAATGTATTTTATACTTTAACTCTCCAGGAGAGCTGACATATCTATTAGAATCACTTAATTATAATTAAATCTGTTTGAAATCTCAAAAATGTCAAATAATTAAATTTACTTTGTGTTCTACACACAAATTTGGATTATTAAAATATATTTATTATTCATTCTTTTGGTATGTCATTTTGATTTCTTGAAATTAATTAATGTACTTTTTAATTAATATAAATTGTATAACTCTTACTAGTCAGTAATGTGTTATTGGAAAAAGTATAACTTAAATCACTTTATAGAATTGATAACAGGTTTTTACAGACCCAAATGTATGATTTAAATTACTTTATATAGTTGGGCCCGCAAGATTCATTTAATTTAATTTAAATTAAAGAAGCTCACATTATTTTTTATCAACGTTTGGCAAAATAAATAAATTTAATTAATTAAATGTTTTATGTTTATTACAAGTAATTTAAGTTATACATTTTTTAAGCATTACTGATATATATATATATATATATATATATATATCAGTAATGCTTAAAAAATATATATACATGCTTATATATATATGTATAAAGACTTTAATTCATGAGATGAAAAATCAAGATTTTTATTCCCTGCAAATTATTTTTCTTCAAAAGACCTATGGAAATATAAACGTATTCGTGAGAATATCTTCCACACGCACACACACACATACTCAGAAACTTTACATATAATTAATTATCTAGATTTTTAAGTTAAACTTTTTTCTTTTTTACAATAAAAGTTATATTTGTTTGTTTGCTCGTGGAATACTAGAAACCGTTTCGCTGATAGGAATTCCCTGTTCTTTTCCATTCTCTTCTTAACCTACTTTTTAGTTTTCTTTTTCTGCCATGGTAGCTGGAGAATTTGTGTGTTTACGCGGTTGGCGATAAACCGGAAGACGTTTTACAGTCGCAATTTTTGGGGCAGGTGAAATGTTTGAGAAAACTTCAGTGAAACATGAATTATCGCGTAACGCAAAATACTTCAATTATTCATACTGTGATAAATCATATGTACGAAATGCTAATATTCGGCAATAAATTTTGATTTTAATTAGTTTATTAACAATATACTGTAGTTACTATTAATGATTTTGAAGAGATTACTAACTATATAATTTATTATACTATTTTATAATCAGTCTTTATATTAAAGTCTCTACTCATTATCATATATATCATTTTTCATTTTTCATTTTTTATAATTATAAGTTTATCAGATACATACTTGATTTCGTGTGGTAACTAATTATGATAAAGTGTAAGCTCACGAACAGCAATATTACTGGGGTTTCACCTTTTAAGGTATTCTAATTTTATACTCTCTTGGTTATAAATTTATATTTTGCACGTCAATAAAGTTTATTACATATATAATTCTAGAAGTCTAATGATATTTTTCTTTTCAATTCAGAATGACAGAAGAAAAAACGAATATCGAATTTTTTGATCGAGCTAATACTTATCGAATTTAAGGAATCAACATTAATAAGTGAAAATAGACTGAAATATGATCAATATAAATAAGCAAAAAAGATATGTTCGCTTAAAACAGATCTTGCGTAATTATATTTTTGTGTGAATCTTAAAATTTCTAGTTCAAGCAAACAGCGTGCTGACTATTTGTCTTGAAACATAATCCATAACTGGAACTGGAGTACGTAATAAATTATAAATTAAATTAACAAGCAGTTTAATAATATTAACGCCGGAGTTAGGAAGTAACGCGTTATATCGTCGTTATTATTACGTTACTTTTTTCCAAATGTGAGTAACGATGAGTTACATCTTTTTATTTTTTTGGAATAATGATAACGAACATAATCGCTACTTTTATTGTTACTTTTTTTTATACATGCAATATGTGTATATAGAACATAAACAATTTGTAAAAGAAGAAAGTTAATTAAGATCAGAGTACAAACCTTTACATAACGCATAAAAAAATGACAAATTAATCTGTTCCTTCCACAAAATAAAGAACTATAATTTTTTAATTCTCTTATGCATTATGCGAAGATCTATATTCAGATCTTGATATTTGATCATGTCATGTGTAACCATAACCATCATAACCACTGTAGATTTCGTATTGAACTGGTCGATTAGTGACCAAGACAGTTGAATGCCATTATAAACAGTTTATCAAAATTCGATGAAAATATAACAGAAATTGTAACAACTCGTTACTTTTTAACGGTAATGATAACAAGTAACTTTTTAAAATCAGTAACAGGAACGAGTTTCTTTAAAAAAAAAAGAACATACTTTTACAGTAACAAGTTACTTTTTGTAAAGTAACTTGTCAAATGCTAACTATTGCTAACGAGCATTATAAAACAAATATTGTCCGTTTCTACCAATGTAATTTAATTTGAATCTTGATTCAACTAACTCTTTATCTTTCCCCGTTCTAAGAATGAAAAAAAGATGAAGAGTAAGATCGATATTCACAGTCATAAGTAATGTCTTCAGATACTAATGCAGCTCTCTGACTGGTTCATGATATCTTAAAACTGTACTTAAGACAATCTTAAATATAAAAATTGACCAAGAATACCGATCTAAGAATTGAATTGAGATCAAAATTAATCTACATTGATAGAAACGGGCGTAAAGAATTTATTTCAAAAAATGAAATTTAAATCGCCCGAATAGACGAGTTGTCTCGCTCGCGCGCGTACAGACCTGGCGCGTCACGTGACGAAAACACGCTGTGACGTCATCCGCGCAGCAGCGGCGAGCCAGCTGCCAGTTCAACATGGCCGACCTGTGAGCGGCGGTGCTACAGACGGCCGTCCGCATTTAGTCGTTCGTTTCTATCCGTTCGCGCGTCTCATTCGTGTCGCAGGACCCGTTAATATGATATCGTCGATCGTCTCGCGTCTCGTCATGTGAGTATTCACACCGTCGGTAACGGCTGTGCCGTATACCGAGTGGCGTCGGTCGATGGAGTCGGCCGTGGCGCGCACTCGGGGCCATCGCCATCGTCCGCCGTCCACCAAGTCGGCGACGGCGATTCGTCTCGGTGCAAGGCGTTTATTTTTATCCGTGTCGTGCACGCAACTTCACACGTGTCGTCGAGTGCTCCAGCGACGACGCGACGCGATGTTTCGCCGAATCTATCGCATATACAGTGATTCCATCATCTACTCCGTCTCAGCCGCTCGCTCGATCGGCGGTCTGTCTCTATAGATACGCGTATACATATATGCGTATGCATATACACGTATATACGCCGTATGTCCGTCTCGCTCGCACCCGACAGTTCGCTGTTATGACACAGGGAATAAAATATGAGGGCTGGAAACGTATAGAAGGAAATTCCTGGAAGAAAATTCGGCTGCCAGCGGGACGAGCGGATTCACTCTCTGTTGAACGGCCATCTCTCTTGGATGCTCTCTTTCTTTCTCTCTCTCTCTCTCTCTCTCTCTCTCTCTCTCTCTTTCTTCCAAGATTGTGTCATCACATCTGTTCAAGCTTCGACAAAAGGCATTTCCATGTTTGGGCAGGACCCTCGAAGTAGGAGTGTCGCCAAAGGCATTTAAATCCACAGTGGCGAAAGGAACCAAAGGAGGGAGAGACGAAGGCAAAAGGGAAAAGAAGCAGGGACGGACAACGTCCGGACGGGATCTGGTGTAAGCGAAGGTAAGGGATCAATGTCACGAACACACTCGAATCGATGCGCAGCGCCGGTTAACGTGGAAAAAGCACCGGCGATCGCGGAGTAGATGAAGATGCAGATAAAAATCGAGAACGATAACGTGCCTAAAATTTCCTCCCTAATTAATGCGCGCCGTCGAGCAAGGGTGAAAGCGAACGCCCCTATTTTGCAACACGGAGTCTATCGAGAACGTAACCTAACCCAACGTTCTCAGCGTTCGCGTAATGCAGACGTTACGACATTCGTGAGTATCTTACGTTCGCTCACGAAAATTGGAGCAGTGTACACGATGATGTGATGCGTGTCTTGTTGAACTTCTTGACTGCATTCCATTATTCACTGCCAATACTGATATGTTAACTATAGATGAACTATAGATTTTCGGTACTTGTAATAAATACGTAACGGAACGCAATCCTTATCTGCAGAGGAGATTGTTTGATTAGTAATTGTCGCAGAAAAGCGCTCTTTTTTATAAAAATCTAAATAATTTAAAAAATTAATGAATTACAAAGCCAGAAAAAGCCATCTGTTAATGTAATATTAATATCCATGTTGACTCTTTTTTTAATTCACTTATTATTAGATTTACTCTTAGAGCTCGCTACATACATTACATTTATTACTTTTTTATTTATAAAAGATTTCTAAAAATTTGGATAATAAATTCAAAGTATTTATAAAAATATCTCTGGCACTATTCGCATATCTTTACTATGGGATATGATTAGAAACCTTATATCAGAGTTTGGCTAAGAGCCATTTTGTCAAAATTCTGCGAGAGAGGAATATTCTGTATAATTTCTTCTTGTATATATATATACTTATTCTAACTTATACTGTTTCACTTTATAACTTTAATTAAGTTTATAGAGTGAGACACAGTATAAATTAGAGTGAATAGTATATATACAGGACGAAATTATATGTATCTTTCTCTCGTAGAATTTTGATAAAATAGCTTGTGATTTTCAAATATTGTATAATGGATCATTTATTGAATAATATCTTTATCATTAATAGTATGTTGTTAAATAAGCAACATCGATAGTGTGTGAATTCTAAAAAAAAAACAATTTAATATGAACTTTATTATTTCATAATTAACTGCACGTTGTCTTTTTATATTCCTATTTCTTTCTTTTTCCGAAAATATTTATTTCACAATCAATCAAAATCATATTCTTTAATGTAATCGATATGAAAAGACTGTGATTTTTATTGACTGACTTTTAAAGAGATATAAGAGAGAACCTGATAATCTTTGGAATATCAACTACGTATCTTAAAGTCCACTAGAGTCTTTCATATAATTTTACGTGATAGTCCTCGACACATATTTTCTATATTGGGGTAAAGCAATCTTGACATTAAAGCATTTTTATGATACACGATACACGAGCATGATCTTGAGAAACGTAAGCATTTTCGTTCGGAAAGAGAACGTCGTAAACCGGACAAACGCGCGCGCGATAAGCAAACGACGCGTTCCATGCCGTCAGCTGATCCGAAAGCTACGTCACAATGGCGCAGGTCGTTGCACTCTTCGGGCTCCCTCGCTAAGAGGCACGTTTTGTTTACCCCGTGGCGTTGTCCGGCAGCGCTCACATTCACGCAGGCTCGTCAACGCAGCATACAATGTGCGTGAACGTCCGCCCTGATCTTTCTCTCTCTCTCTCTCTCTCTCTCTCTCTCTCTCATTCTTATCGGCGGCGTATGACTCATGGCCGCCACGCTGCACTTGACAATAAATTAGAACGAAACGGAGAAACGCCGATTCCACGAGTTCTGGCACAAGGTAAACGTCACGGCGGCAACTGACGCAACGAGTAAACGAGGATTCGTTCGCGGAATGTATTTGCTCGAGTTTCTTTCGCACAGAAAATCAAAGAGAAATCTATCATGTTTTCTTTAAGAAATTGTTATATAGTGTGTGGTAGCAAAAATGCAAATGGAAAGAAAAAATAAATAGAAAAATAAATAAATAAAAATAATGCTACGAATTTTAATTTTATTAAACCTAATGTGGTAATAATAGAATTCTGTGTGTGTTTCACGAGTTATATTTTACTTTTTAATAAGAAAATTCGAAAATATAGAGATAAAATATTTTTGTAAAACCAACGCGAATTAATTTGATGACACATTGTGACTGTTACTATTTAATTTCAAATTAAAGCTCGAAAATGTAAAGTTATTGTAATTAAAAGTTGAAATGTAGAGAGTAATGCAAAAAGAACGTACCAATTCGCGAATGAATAAGTATAATTATTAAGTATGGATATATATATATAATAATAAATAATCATATACAGTTGTACCTGCTATATATTGAAGTAGACAATTCATCCTTTTTTTTTGAAATGTTCTTATAAGAGAAGGATTCTCGAGTAAAGTACGGATAGTGCTTCATAAAAAGTGCACTCGGTTTATCAAATGTGTCTCTGCTATTTCGTGACGCCATATAACCACTATGTATATATTTCCTTTAGTGCATATTCCATTACGTACCATGTACATTTCTGCGTATTTTATGGTGATGTTATACAAAATTTGAAAGCATATTTCTCTCTCTTCAAACACATTTAGGATATCTCAAAAATACGTTTGAATAACGATTTTATTCCAATCCAAATCAATTTTAGCAATTTAATTTTTAGCATTATTAAAAATATTTTGGCAATCAAACATCTCAAAAAGAAAATTTGTTTATTATTCAAATTTTAACCTTTATTAATGAATGATGAATGCGAATTTTCTATTTATTTAAATTCTAAAATCTTAATTCATCAAAAGCTTTTAATTTTGACAATACATTATTATCAAACCTTCATTGTCAAACCGTCAACAACAACATTCTTCTCTTCTCCAAGATTTCTTAAATATTTTCTTTTATTCTTTTTCAAACGCGTTGCGAAACAAAATAGATTTTGATGAGCGTACATGATTAAAAATAACTTAGCCAAAGAATATCTTGTAATCCTTCAAAATTCAAATGGTTTCGCTCCACAATTAGTTTTTGGAAAGTTCAATGATGAGATAGAGGCTACGCTAGAATAGAGACTTCAAAAGGCTTTCCTAAACTGAAACTATTGAGGTTTCAAAGGGTTAAAGCCTCTTCTCTTACTTTTCTGTACATCAAACGAATGCATTTCGATCGACATGGAAATAGCACTCGACATCGAATACATTTATGTGTAGCAACAATATTCGATGCAATCGTTTTTATAATTTTGTGCTCTGTCCGCGTTACGCATTTTCACGAATATTTTTGAAAAGGAAGCCACTACCGAAAGGAAACGAGCACAGAAAGAGAGAGAAAGAGAGAGATAGAGAGAGAGAAAGATGTTTCTTGATATATCAAGAGGAAACTTGGTCGCTCGTTGGATCGATGCACGGTTGGCAACAGAAGGGTAGTATTTCACGTCGTTATTGTATGCTTCATGTGCGCCCCTATACACGGTGTCTCGTCATTACATAGAAACATTTTTCTTACAAAATTATTTGGCGTATTTATAAATATTTTTGTCTTGTAATATTAATTTATTATTTTTTTAAATAAAAATGGATTTTCTCTTTTTTTCTGAAGGTTTCAATTCAATAATTATTATGATATTTAACATCTGCAATAAGTAATAAATGTCATTAAAATTTTCTTAAAAAAATTATAGAATAACTACATATTTTAAAAGAAAAACGAAATAGAAGCCTATAATATTTAATCCTTTTATATTTGCTTTATATTTTAACAAAATTTCCAATACTATTATTCTTTATATATTTAAATAGAATTATACAATTGCTTTAATTCATTTTTACTTCAAATTTATGTCCTCTCTTTCAACGAAAAATTTAATTTCTAGTTGATTGCAATTAAGTTATGACTTTTTAGAGATTTAATCCAAATTTAAGCATGTAGATATTTAAAATGAATTACTTGTTTAAAAAGAAATAAAGTGTTAAAAATTTTTTAAACGATTTAAATTGACTTAACAAATGAAATAACAAATCTTGAAATTTACTTAACAAATATTTAAAAGTAATCAAGTATTAAAAATTGGCAAGCGTTAATCTTTTGCAAGGTTCTCTCTCTTTTTCTTATTTTTAACAAAATAATTTAAAATATTTTTCCATGATGTCACGATACTTTGCGTATATATGTGCATTCACGTATCCCTTTCTCGGACACGTAGTATACCTGCAGGACTAAAAGACTCCTAACGCCGGAGTGAATCAATATTCTGTACACCCTCGCACAGGAGATCGCGTTAACCTTTCTCACCCTCATACCCCGCTACGATGCCCTCGACGTCTACTCGACCATTGCATGGAGGGCGGCGAGTACTTGTTTAGCTCTCCCTTCGATCTCGTCGTATCCCTCTCGTCGAGTCGATGAGAACAACATAACGTTAGGGGGCACGTATCTATATTTACGTCGGCTGTGCGAAATTCTTTAACATAGGACCAAGTTGCGCGAACGTGACTTTCGTCCACATAACTCTCGATTAACGCTGAAATCAATAATAGTATTATATTTCAGTTCTTAGTGGCACTTTCTACGCTTTTTATTTTTTTCTAAGAATAACAACAACTACAATTTTATTTTAGAATTATTATTCGAGGAATATTAAAAATTGCATAGTTTGCAATGCATAGAAGGAAATAGATTTTATTTTAGATTTGATAATATTATTAATTTAATTTTGTATAAATAATCATGAAGTTAAAATTGTAAAAACATTTAAATGAAAATTTTATTTAAAGAGAAATGTATTTTTTTTTTATCTGAAAATAAATCATTATTTGTTAAAATTTATTTACTCAAATATTTCCAAATAATTGCTAAATATTTGATCAATTGTTAGATATAAAAAAAGTTTATTAATGTATATTAATGTATATTTTTTATGACATTCCATTTGTTAAATGTTTATTAATACGCTTTACATGCCGCATTCTAATACTCAAGTTTATGGAATTAAGT